GGGAGTGGGCGTACGTGAGAACCACGCGTGCTTAGTTGCTGTATTTTATAATTTTAAGTTGTGCAACGGCGGGGGAAATCTCTTTAAAATTTCACTCCCCCAGTTTTCCTGGTTGCCAAGTTAGTGATTTTCCCGTCAGAAACCCTCGCGGAGCCGTACACGGGAACCACGCGCAATTGGCGGCTGAATTCGAAATCTTTGAATTCTGCTTGAACGGGGAGCATGACTTAAAAATTTCAGCTTTCTAGCTTTTCCCATTCCAACAAATTAAGCGATTTTCACGCGCCCGCATGCAAGGTCCAGACGTCCATGAGGATTGGTACTCGCGGTCCTGGTGTGACACTTGGTCGAGGAACCAGTTGGCAAAATTTTGGCGCCGGAGCTTGTTTGGTTGCCGAGTTGAAATACCCGGACAGACGAACACACACACAAACATACACACACGCACGCACAGATAGAGTCGTTGCAGTATGCGTTTTTGCAATATGCATATATGCATAAAAACGATGGTGACAGATGGCACTGTTGAGCGCGTAAATAGATCAGGTTTAACTTCGGGATGATCATGCATCAACTTAATGTTATTGCTAAAGGAGCTATCTGAGGAATAAGGATTTGACTTCACTTCTGAGAAAATTAACTACTCTGATATTTGGTCACTTGTCCCGATTGTAGGTTGTGAAGACACACATCAGGGAGTCGGGGCATCTACCAACATCTGAACATAGAAAGGATTTCCAGCTTTGCTCGCGGGTGCTTGTTGTTGGTTACTACCGATTCCTACTGCTTGAATCTCTCCGCCTCTCGCATGAAACATTTGAAGGGTTTCGATTTCGCCTGCAAAAATACCCTTTATCGTGATTCGTTTATGAGGAGCTGTCAGACTCAGGTAGCTGCTGGACAGCTACATGTTGGATTGTATTATAAAAAATACGGCTTTTTGGGACTTATCCAGACCTATAAATCAAATGATCTTCATCCAACATTTTCTGTGGGAGCGCAGAGATGTGATTTATGCAGATCTGTTTGCCCTGCGTTTCTGATGTGCTTGGCACTGACGTCTTCAAATGGCTAAAACCTTCCGTGATTCTTGTGCTAGGCGAGACATTGAATTTGTAATTCTTTAGGAGGCGATGCGAGCCTAAAAATGACTAATGGATTGGCGCACAGACGAATCAGCGGGAAAAGGAGTTGATAGGGGGAGAGCCACTCTGTGCATCACGACCGTTCTCGGTGTTTTACACCGTTGCGCTGTTAGTAATGTACCCAATAATAACAATAATTAACCTATAGGGTCCCAAAGTAATGTTTTTTGTGCGATCGGTTATTATTGTCGGGTTCATTTCAGCGAAGCCGATCACCGCTAGTACGCAGCATGTCGCGAAGCCGAAGCGGTACACCATTGGCCTCAGGTAAGAGTAATGGCAATGCTCGATCGCCTTACTCCCATACCCGATCTCGTTCGCTTTCTCAATCACCAGCTCGTGAACGTTCAGCAGCATCTCGATCACCAGTACGTGATGGCTCCATTTCTCCGTCACGTGGTCGATCCAGATCACGCGACGATCGTCGAGTTCGCCGTTCGCGCTCTCCAGATGAACGGAAGCGCTATCGGTCGCGTAGCCGCGAATCGCGTTATCGTCGGCGCAGGTACGTTTTCTCTGAGCTCACCCTGTTTGCTATTCGCTCTTTTTTTTTGAGCTTTGCACGAAATGAGAATTTTAATTGCACAAAATTTTGTTCTTCGGTGGCTTTTCGGCTTCTGCTGTTAACTTTTCGGATTCGGGCACTGTCCATGCTGCAGGCTGAAGGGATGGTGCCCTTTTCCGTGCTCTTTGTACACTGTCGTTGAGAACTCTGCTGCTGTCGCGGAGCTGCGGGGGGAGGGCGGGGGATAATTTTCATGGTAAATTGTTAATGAATAATTTTGTCAGTTCAAATGAACAGCGGAGAATTCAAAAGTCAGTTTGCTTCAATGAAAAGTGAATGAGAACTTCAATGAACCACAGTGCACATGCATCAGTCCAGTTCAGTCATTGGACAAGATCAGATCACAGTGGCCCGTTCAGTTCAATTCAGTTCAAATTCCCAATTGAACCAACAGCCGACCGACAGTTGTGGTACCGCTCGCACAATCATTCCCACTTTCCGTCCAGTTTACCGGACACACACAGAGAGCTGCGAAACGGGTTTGATCTTGACAGGCGCGCTGTGTTATGGTTCGATTTTGAGATTACCTCGCACCAGAAACGTGAACTGCTCGTTTTTCAAACAAAATATTCCGACCCTGTCACTCACCTTTAGCTGTTTGACGAATTTCCTATTTTTTCATGGCCTGGGGAGGGGGGGGGGGGGGGGATTGAAATTAAAAACCGAAAAGTCTTCCATTTTTCCATGAGCCTTGAAGGATTTGGAATTAAAAAGAGGGAAATTTGGAAGGCTGTGGTGCATGCAATTCTTGTGGAGTTACGTGGATTGGAATCTAAGGAAAATTTACGACATGCCTCCCAGTTTGTGCGGGGTCGCGAGGAGATAAGCTGAGGGCTGAGTTTCATTTGTGGCTGGCTTCAGCACGATTCATCCCTTAAACAAAACAGTTTGGTTATTGGCGATTTTTTTCTTTTACCTAAAGCAGTCGCGTTTCTGATAGTGACAACACACACGCGTTCAGTGTGTGAATTTGAAAAGATTCAGAAATCACTGTCTCCGAACCTAACCCAGCGCTTCGAATTCGATTACTGAGGGAAGTGAGCCTGAATGGGCGGATGACAGGTGTTAGCTGGTTGTGACGTGCGTTTGCGCTGTGGGCGAAATCTGCTGTTTTTCTTTGATTGTGTCTGAAGCGATATTTTAGGGTCCTTTCTCTGTTCTTTCAAAGAGAATTATTGCATTCCCTTCATCAACTGTATAGTCCACTTACGTAGCTGCACTGTAACGGGCGCCATGCGTAGCATGAGGTGTTCTTGAGAGATTAGGTGA